GAACCTGTTTTTTTGAAGTGGTTTCTTAGGATCGAGCCTTACAACGGTTTTCCCCAAATTTGATCTTGAAAGGTGTGCCCCAACATTTGAATTTTGATAGGTATGCCTCGATCTTTAGTGTCTGGAGGAAGTATCTTGGATCTCACCATGATGTGATATAAATTTGATATGGATTGCCCCAAGTATCTATATCTTCGAAAGGTATGCCCCTGATTAACTGGTTCTTGGAGGATGTGGCTCAAGCTGACCGAATTCTTAGAATGATTGCCTCTAGTCAATAGGATCTTCATATGATATACCCTTATGATCATTAGGATTCGTTCCTTCAAAGCGGTAGGATCCCTGGGTACTTTGCCCCTAGTTAGGAGCTTCTTGAAATGGATCTCCTTTGATCAGATCATTTTTTAGATTTCCTTGATGCTAAGTATTATTTGCAAACAAAATTATTCCTTTTTGAAAAGTAATTCTACCGCGATGCACATGCATGCTTTGAAATAGAAATTTGTTATGGAATAGAAATGGATGATAAGGGATACAAATATGAAAGGTGATATGGTTAGAAATAAATTAACAAACATTTGGAGTCAGTTTAACACAAATTTAACTGAGTATGCTTTCATAGTGAACCTAGCTTCAATTAGGACTTTTGAAGATTGTAACGTGTCCTAGTTCATGGTTTAAGAAACAAAGGATATAAAGCTCAAATTTTATATAACACACCCTATTCTCCTTGATGTTCTTCATTCTTAAATTCAATTAAATCAACGAATGCATTCTGTCTGCAAGAGAATTTTCATAGTCACGATGATGATGAGAAGCATTGATAAGATTCAAGCATTGCTGAGAAGCATTGATGTTTGTGAAGGAAAATTACGATCCAAAATGCAGCAGAAATTACAATTTTTATTTAGTGATCTTTATGAATGGTCATGGTCAGTGATATAAACTATTACCTCTTGTGGCGATTCAGACCTTTGATGTTGTGATCACGAACGTTGGTGAAGAACAACGCATCTACTCAGTCCACATGAACATATCGCTTCCAGTCACAGTGCTAGATTCTTATGAATGAAAACTTTGATTGAGAGAGTGAGAGAAAATACGGCTAGGATTTCAAGACGGAATTTTAATCAAGTGAAAATGTTTGAGCACAAGGTTTTTATTTATAGAACCACTTGTGTGGGCTTCAAGCTAAAAGCCTAATTAAGGCTGCAAGTTAAAATCCCAATTAAGCTTACGGGCATCATACCTTATGATGTACCATATATCACTTAAGCGTGTGGTACCTTACCATATTACGTATTCCACTTAAGCGTATCGTACCTTACGGTTGTGATACGGTGGGAGAACTGACTTGAGGTTTTGCGTTTGTGTTTGCAAATGTTTCGGTTTAGCAAGAGTCGCCACCGACTTTTTATTTTATCCAAAGGAAAGGTCAAAAAGCACAGGAAAGACCTTTGAGATGTTTTCTTGAGTTCGGGGGGTAGATTATGAAAAGGGAAGGTGCAAGCACCCTTTTCATCCATGGTTATCCACGGGCTCTTAGTTACTTGTTTAGATCACTTGCTTTTGTTTTTCAATTGTTTGAAATGGTGCTTTATGTGTGTGGTTTTGAAAATATTTTGAAAAGAGGCCATCGTTGTGGCAACCTTTATAATGATTCTTGTTTGAATGTATACAAAGGTGTATTTGCCTTTTGAAAAGATATTTTAATGTTTGAAAGTTTGTTTTGGGAAATGTTTTGAAATTGTGTTGTGAGGTGTGTTTGAAAATAGCAAGGATGTTTTTGCACGTTTTGATCAAGTAACTAAGAGTTGTCTACCCTATCTTACTCAAAGATCTTTCCTACAAATTTTTAACCCTTTTGACAGTGTTGTTTTACCATTGCATTTGATAAACAACCTTGTATTAGGATGTTAAACGGGACAGGCACGAGTCATCGTATTGACCATGATAGCAATATTGCCAAGTATCTTTAGCAATTTCTTTGAGGGACTAGATCATTTTGTTTAGGCAACCAAGATATTGTCATCGAGGGACTATGATCTTTTGTTTTGTTTTTGTTTTGCCAAGATACTCAACATGCATAACATGGCCATTTTAAAGGCAACAAGTGGATGAAACCCTAGGGGTGCAAGTGTGTATTGTGTTATCAATTTACATGCTTTTTTATCTTTGTATTAGTCAAGCTATTTGTTTGATTTTAGATTTTTGCATACAAACCCTAATCTCTATCATGGCATATTTGTAAGTAAGTGCACAAAATAAATCTACACTATTACAACATTTGATATGGGAAGGGGGGATACAATTTTGAATGGGGGAGTATTTTGCAAGAAATTAAAACCCGAATATTTACTATTACATCCAAATTGAATAAAATGGTACAAATAAATAAATTGACAATAATTAAACAATTTAAATATAAATATGCAAAATATCATAAATGTGTAAAAATGTCTTTTTTTGTTTATTTTTATGTATGTAAAAATATAATATTTAATGTATTAAAAAAAAGAAAAATAAAAAGATTATTATTTTTTTATTAAGGGTGAAAACCCTAATTTTCTTTTAAGAAAGTAAATATATATTAATTATATTGTTTATACACAATAAAATAAAATAAAATATACACAATAAAAATATATTTAGAAAAAATATTATTTAAGTATGAATAATAAAAAAATAAAGGCATAATATTTTCATGTATTATTTTCAAGTTTTTTCATTAAATAAAATAAAAGTATATGCTAATTAATAATTATTTTTATGTTAGAAAAATAAAATAAAATATAAAAATAAATGTGAAAATTTATAAAAATATTTTTGGTATTTTTTATGTTTAGAAAATAATAAAATAAAATCAGAAATGAAAAATAAATGCAAAAATACAAAAATATAAAGAAATGGGCCAGGGGGTGCAGTCAGCAAGGCAGGGGGTGCAAAAAGTGAGCCAGAATCAAGCCCAACCCATGAACTTCATCTTCAACCTTTGTCAAAAACAAAAAAAAACGTGCGCCTTGTACAAATGTCCAGATCCTGCATACGTGCTCTAATGCAAAAACTCATAACATCAAAGTTGTAGCATTTTTCAAGACGAATTCAACCATATAAGAAACTTAATCTAACTCTCAAAGACCAGAGAGAATTTCTCTGGCCCTAATTTCTAACCTAACTTTTTCAGGAAGTTCATGAATCAAATTCTCTTAACACGTTTAACTTAAATGAAAACTGAGCATATGTACAACTTCATGGCTATGAATACTACATTTTTTATTCACAAACCAAAGCCTAATGATTCCTGAATAGAGAGATAGGAAGTTGACAAAAACCTGTTTCAGTTGACTTCGTGTATGGCAATGTGGAGCTTTTCAGTGAGACCTGAGGTATTTGGGAGCTTGCCTGAACTTCCTCTGACCTTCCCCAATGCTTAGTTTGCTTTGGATGTGCTTGAACAAACCTGTAGAAGTCAACCTGCACAAGCTGAAAACAGAAATGGTGAAGCTTGCAAATGGAGTTACAGTTCAAGGCCAATGGTTGGGATAGCTTGGATAGGCTATATGGAATGTGTTTGAACAGGTTTGGGGCAAAACGCACAAGGGATCTTTGCTATGGAACTCCAAGTGCAGGAACTGCCCTGTTTCTACAAGAGGAAGGTGATTTGATATTCAAGAGTGTTTGAGGGATCAAAGGCTCGTGTTTCAGGCTCAATGCAATGTCAAGAACTTGTTTCAAATGCTTGCTAAGCTTGATTATTACAGATGTGCAAGTTGTCTTGTATTTGACAAGTTTCTTGTATTTTAAGCAAAAGTGAGCCATGATGCAAGACAGGCCTGTACAGGCTATCTATCAGCCTGCACTTTGTGATTTTGGCCCCCTCAGTTTGTGGATATTATGTGTTGTACCAGATCTTGTTCAAGGCTCAAGGATTCTATTTGACATAAAGCAAATTTGACAAAAATGGCAATGTTGCCTTTTTGCTATTTTAGGGTTAATTCTTTGTGTAATCCTCCCATGACCAGAACGAAGCCTTAAACCAATGGATTTGTATTTAATTATTGAGTATATAAGGGTTTTGGAACTTGTAATCAAGTACAAACAAGGCTGATTAGAGTTTGCAACTTGTATCAATATGAAAATGCCATGGATCAAAAGTGAGTTCACCACAAGAAAGTTGTCAAATTGCGACGGTTTTTTTGAAAGGTTACGACGGTTCAAACCGTCGCAATTTGACATCTACGACGGTTGGCGCATCGTCGCAGAAAAGTGTGTCCCCAGGCTGTTTAGCGACGGTTGCCAAAACCGTCACACTAACTGTCGTGCTCACCACGACGGGGAGAAAACTGACGTAAACTAAATATTGCAACGATTACTAACCGTCGTGAATTTCCGTTTGATTTTTATTTTAACAGTTGATTGCAACGGTTAAAACCGTCGTGAATTTCCGTTTGATTTTTATTTTAACAGTTGATTGCAACGGTTCAAACTGTCGTGAATTTTACTTGTTGTTTTGTTTTTAATGCTAATTGTGACGGATTAGGGGGGGTTATAACCCCCGCTAAAATGATTAATTTATACAAAAATCAGAATAACAACAAAAATATCAAAGCTATTAAAAAATATCAAAGCTACTATAATAATTGACACTTATAGAGAAATTGAAGCAACATATACAATATATGATAAGAGAAATAGACAGCTTTCACTCGTTGAATAAGCACTTAATTAACCTGTATATATTTTAATGTCCCCTAGTCATATCCTAGATAGGCTTGTAGTTGTTAATCTAGTTTGAGTATTATGTTCAACTACTAACTATACTTAGATTTGAGTAATATCTAACTTAAAATTACGGACATACACATGGCCATCGACCATAACATCCACTATAATAATTTCTATAATATCCTACAGCATGTTGACTATCTGTGATTCAGACTTGCTCTCTTCAGCTCACTGCTAGTAGAATGGAGAAAAATTGTAAGACTTCCATAAGTACATCAAGAAGGAATGGAATTCCCTGTCAAATGGAATTCCCTTTGCGGCTTTTCTTTCTCTTCTTCAATCTCCCTTAAAGTATCATCTCTAATATCCTGAACCTTTTTATCCCAGACATCATCTACTAGCTTCCATGTTTCATCATTAACAATTTGCGTCTACAGTGAAAAGAAGTTGTTTAGATAATAAATAAAGGAATCCAGATCAATTGCAAGAGAAATAATAAATTAATGCAACATATAGAACAAGTTTCAGCTAAAAAAAAAAACCTCTGTAGGGCGTGGTGCGCCAAAGGTTGAAAATCCAGCATTGCCCGGTGCAAATGTAACCCTCTCAGGAAGACTGATCCCATGGATTCCCCATCGTCCAGCATAAATCAGTGCTCCATATTCATCAAGTGGACTCACAGAAGGCTAAAAAGGGCCCCAAAAAAGATCATAACAAATAATCATTTGTTCAACTAAGGGTGATGATAAAAGTTTTCAACAAAAAAAACTACAGCTTGCCATACTGAAATTCTGAGTTTGTAACCCTTAAAAGAATCCAATAAATGTTTTTCCGTTCATAAACATCTCTCAAGTAACTAACTATCTTTAAATGCTTGAATACCTTTAAATCATGCATGAAATGCTAAGTTAAACATGTCATTAGAAAATATCAAAATAACATATGTCTAACAATGTCAAAGGCCCAACAGGACAACACCCTCCACTTTAGTTTGAGATTTACCTGAGCTACACGAGGAGCACTCTTATAAATGTCCCAAATCTCCTCAGCTTTGATCTTCCCCTTTTCAAGCAAAATCTCTGCATAACAAATATGCATGTAGAAAAGTTGCTATGAAAATATTGATAGTAGTTAGTATTCTATTTTTTTACAGTTATTTCCTAAAAACAAGCCTTAACTATCATGAACTAATTGAAATAACTTCCTGTTTTTCTACATGGTATCAGAGCTCTATTGGGTTTGGTGTGTGAATATAAACTATAGGCTCTGATACCATATTAGAATTAGAGTTTGGCTTAACTCCTTACAAAATCGGCTTGTAAGGTGAGGTGCGTTACAATATATGAACTTTTTCTCAAACTCTATGTCTAAATATGCGACTTGAGATTTTCTCAATGCATGTAAATCACACTAGAACCAGACCTGTGATTGTCTCAACCGCTGAATGGTATTCTCTTAGCACTGATAAACACTTCTCTGTACCATAACGCATATACTCATCTCGGAGTGCCTCAAGCTTCGTTGCAAGCTGTACAAAAAAATTGAACATCACTTGTGGCTTGTTAATATGCAAAAAATACTTGTCAAGGGAAGCAGTGTGTATTGAAACAGAAGCTGTTAGACTCAAATCCTACACACATACATTAGACACAAGATCGCCTTTGTTTCTGTAATATGCTTTCCCAAATGCAGTCATACCAGTCTGCAGAATCAAAAATTCTGCAAGCCTTGAAGCTTCTGATGTTGCATTTGCAGACATCCAACACAAGTTATCTATCCCGAACATCTCCTCCTCAATTACTCTTGCTACAAACACAATATCTAAAAAATGAAAAAATAATAAATAAAGACATAATGCAGAGAAGAACTATCAAAATGACCTGAAAAGCAAACAACTTACGAGCACAAGAACGCACTATAGAGTTTATGTAATCTGATTTTCTAGAAAAAACCTTTCCAGAAACTTCACTATAAGACATATTTGGCTGGCTGCAAATAGAACTTATATCAGTCTGCAAACAATGAACACACGGCAACACAGATGAAACAATCACATTTCCACGCATAATGAAGTTGCTCAACAAAAATTGAAAGAAATAATGTTACCTCAACAAAAGGGCGGAGTGGCTCAGGAAAATAACATGCAATAACAGCAACAGCTGCTTCTCTATATGCCAATCTCAGTCTCAGTTCTTCAGGAATTTCTGTAGTGTCCTCTTGCCCTGTTTCAAATGTTCCTTTTTGCTGCAAATCCATAAGTTTCATTAGATGGTGTAAAAATGCATTAAACATATCATAAGAAATTACTGAGTCAGAAAGAAGCTGAGAAATCACAAACCCTTTTTAATGCCTCAAGCAACTCGTCACGCCCAATATAATCCAAATCCTTCCTGGCCGTTAAAATTCCAGCTTCGTTCCTGTCATTTATTCGTGATCTGTCAGTCTATATTCTGATGATGGATTGATGCAGAAACTTCTATCAAAGATTATTTACAGTATATTCTGCAGCTCTGCCCCAGTAAAATCTTCTGTTAGCTCTGCAATTTCGTTAAGCAGAGTATCTTTTTCTTCTTCTGAGCGAAAATACTTATTCATAGCATGCACCTAGTTTGCAGTATGCACCAAAAAGAATAGGAAAAAAGAAATTTAAAATATTGAAATACTATAGACTGATCCCAGTAAATCAAGGTTTTGGAGGTAAAATACCTTCAAAATGGCAAGTCTTCTATCTCTTAAAGGCAAACCAACTCTAATGATCTTGTCGAAACGACCCTTCCTCAAAAGAGCAGGATCAATAATATCCAATCTATTTGTAGCACCTATCACAACCACCTGAAATTCAAATTCAGTATATCAAATAACATCTTTGTGATCTTGGAATTTAATTAAAGCTTACCTGTGCTGTGGAAACTTTGAATCCGTCCATCTCAGTCAGTATCTGAAGTAATCCTTGTTCCCTTTCAGCACCTCCCTATGTAATTTATGGACAATGAGAGTTTAATTGGACAGAAAAAAGTGACCACCAACAACACCATTATTTTATAGGACACCTCACTTGTCAATGTTGATTATTGTCAGTTAGAGATAAAACACTGACATCAGTTCTAGAACAATTGAGATTTCAAAATTAATAATGTAGTTTAGTTCTATAATGTGAATGAGGAAGTGGTTAACTTTATCTTCAGGACCTTTGACAATAATGGAATAAAGTTTAATAACTTGGGTGAAAGCAATATAAAGCAAAAATTGTTCATATGCATCAATTTCTAGATGAAAACCTTTATCTTCTCTATAACCCTAATTTTCATCAAGCAAAGTTACATTAAGATAAAATCATAGCTAACACAATAAGGGTTTTTGCTTCTGAATTGAATCATAGAAAAAAGAAACATAACCTGTTTGATAGCACTGGAAACAGAGAGAGTGGTGCTTTGATTGAGGCATTCAACACCAATCCAATCTATGAAGTCTAAGAGATCAACCTAATCAAGAGTATATGAACTAGGTTAGAACTTGTGTACCCTAAATCAAATAAGATAAACTTGACGATGATCATAATAGTGAATGCTAGAGTTTGAATCTTACTTGACCCTTGTGAATAGCGGTGGCGGATTCTCCAGACATTACTGCTGATTTGTGCGACACGGAATACCTTCTTTGTGCGACTTCAAAGAGAGATCTTCCCCTTTGCTTAGCAATCGAAGGAGGCCAGTACGAAGATCTCTAGAGGACATTTGATGCTTTCGATTGGATATCTCAGATCTGACACGTAGTCGTCTTTATGTACAAAGGAGTTTGTGATTCTGAAAAGAAAAGGAAATTGCGGTAGAATTTGAGAATCTTAGCGCGTGAATTGAAAGAACGTTACGAAAGGTTGAGAACGATCATAAATCTGAGCGGGGTCGGTTCTTAAACCGTCGTGGGATATGATACGTTCCAGCCAAAGGGACGGTGAAAGGAACAATCGTGAAACAAGATGCGTTAAAAAGCTTTCTTGTTTTTTTAAATATATTTATATGCTATAATTCTATTTTTTATTGAATATCTATTGACATTACTATTATATTATTTAAATACTACTAATATTAATATAGTTACTATTATATTATATAACTACTATTAATATAATTAATAGTTAGTAAGTAATATTATAATACTAATATTATAATTAATTAATTACTATTATTATATTTAATTAATAAAAGTGAAAAGATGGAAAAATAAAACAAATGGAAAAAAGTGAGAAAATAAAATAATAACAAAATAATAATTATGATTGGTCAAAGTAGTCGCGACAATCTGTTATACTGGTCGCGAGTGTGGAAAGAGGGTAGTTCTTTGGCAACTGTCTCAATTATGTTACTCAATATGCTTAAAAATCTACGACGGTTGGCTCTAACTGTCGTGACAACTGTCGCAGTCCAAGAATAAGGACGGATTTATGGGAACCGTCGCAACTCATGTGTCGTAAAACTCATTTTTTCTTGTAGTGGTTTTTGCCAACTTCAAGCCTTCAATTCTCCCTAACCACAAATGATTTTGGAGAGTTCTTGGACATTTTAGAAAGTTCGTAACATGCTATACAATCCATATTTGAAATGAATTTTTATATTCCAAGTGGAACTATGTGAAAAATGGTCATGAAGATAGGTCAAAATCCTGCCTAAATTAGGGCAAAATTTCACTAAGTTAAAAGTTTCATGGACCCTTGTTCCAAAAATCATAACTTGAGATCCAAGCTTGTTTTGGGAAAAATTTATGATTCAAAGTTTTAGAATTTGTTGAGGACTACAACTTTCATGTTGGAAGTTTCATTTGAATCCAAATGCATCATGGTGAAAATGTTGGGCAAAGTTGGGAAAAAATAAGAAAATTCCATAACTTAGAAAAATTCTAAGTTATGGAATTTTTCAATTTTAAACCCTAATTTGAAAAATTAGGTTTCTTGATGAACAAGTTTCATTTTTTGACACATCTTGATGAAAAATAACCCTTGGCACTTGATTTTGACCAAAAGGTCAAAGTTTGACTTTTCAGTGTACAGTCAAATTTTGATCAGTTGACTGGAAAATTCACCTGTCAATCCAATGCATTTGAGATCTTTTGAACCTTGTGAGTAGGTAAAGATGATGGCATTGAGTCCTTGAATCCATGCTTGATCCCAATTTTCCATTGACTAGGTTAAAAATCAGAAATTGCCCTTGTGCAGTCAAAACCCTAAAAATGACCATTTTGCCCTTTTGATGATTTGATCAAATTTCTTGAGGAGTTGTGGTCCAAACTTGATCAAATGGTCCATATGAGTCTATAATGTTGATGTGGATAAAACATTATGAGGTTTGACTGTAAATTGGCCACATTTGACTTTTTCCCCCATACAGCTGATTTCTAGGTCAACTGTCCAATTGACTGGGCAAAAATTTGATTCAAAGCTTGAAACTTGGTAGAGGAAATCTTATAAGTCCAACATGAAGTATGAAAGTCACTTGGAGCATTGAAAGTCCAAAAATTCCTGTGTAAACTCAAACCCTAATTTAGGTCATCAGTGCAAGGAGATGTCTTGAGAGAGCAAAACCCTAATCCTGTCTGGAGTTCAAAGAGTCCTGTGAGGGGAAATCTTGATAAAATGAGAGGGAAAATTTTGGGGTACAACAGCTTCCCCTGTTCAATCTTCTTGAACTTGAAGAGTTAGATTGGCGAGTTTGCCTTTCGTGACTCGAAGGTAAAAGATGATTGGACACTAGAGTGCCCGTAAATTTGCACTCATCAAAATGTAGCTGAGGGGATAGGCTTAAAGATTCCATTTGGAGATGGTAGAATCTTGCTGGAGATGGGCTTAAAGATGCCATCCAAGACTTGTTTGTTGAAAATCAGGAGAATGAACACCAGATTGGTATCCGTATTTGGAACGTATCTGAGTTGTATCTGGAGATTGGATTCGTATGAGCAAAGGAATGGAGTCCGTGTCTAGAGCGTATCCGAGCTGTAACTGTATTTGATTCTTGAATGAATATCAGAATGACTGTCGTGTCTGGAGTGTATCTGTATTGTATCTGAATTCTGATTGGGCGACAGAGAGACATCTGTGTATGGAGCATCTCTGGGCTGGGGATAAATTTCGAATGAGTGACAGAATGGAAACCGTGTCTGGTGCGTATTTGGAATGTATCTGAAGTTGAGATCTGAATGAGTAGCAGAATGACTTTCATGTCTGGAGTGTATCCGTACTGTAACTGGGATCTGGACAAGTGACAGAATGACTTCCGTGTCTGGATTTTATCTGAACTTGAAGTTGATAGTTGAATCTGAATGAAAAATAGAATGGTTTCCGTGCCTGGAGCATATCTAGTTTGTATCTGATTGTTGAATTCTGAATGAGTAATAGAATGACCTCCATGTCTGGGGTGTATCCATACTGTATCTGAATAATAGATCTGAATGAGTAACAAAATGACTTCCATGTCTTGGAGTGTATCCGTACTGTATCTGATATCTTCGAACATTTGTTAAAGGTAGCTTTTAATCTTATCCTGAAAAGGGTAAAATGTTAGCTAAAACACAAAGTTATGTTGCATGATATGTATGACGCAATAAAGTGTGCTTTATCAATGTTTATGATATATGAATGTAATGGATGCGCATGTGAGCTGATTAGCTGTCTTGCTGAGGAAAATAAATCCTTGATAGCTGGAGATAATGAAATCTTTGACTGTTGCCGAGGAAAACAAATCCTTGGACCACTGTTGGAGATTCAAAATCTTTGATTGTTGTGAATGAGAAATCCTTGGACCACTGTTGGGGATAGAAAATCCTTGGTGACTTGTGGGGATGTGTGAATCTTTCATGACTTTCATGGGGAATAAGGAAAACTCTGACGATCTCTACTGGGGAATTAAAACCTGGGAGGCTTCAACTGGATAAATGAGACCGAGAATCTTCGATCTGCTGGGAAATAACTCTGTGGGGAGAATGTTGATTCTGTTGAAGAGTTCTCAAGGGCTGGAATTGTATGTCAACACTCTGAGGAATTACCCGAAGTTGTTGTCTGGTTAGTAAGATAACTTGCAATGGAATCTCTTGGTTTCAAGACAAATCTTTGTCTGGTTAGTAAGATAACTTGCAAGGGAATCTCTTGGTTTCAAGACAAATCTCTGGGGAATTGGAGGAAACTGTATGGTCTTCCACCGGGGTTTAAGGGTTGAAGTTTTGGACTCCGTTGGAGTAGAAAGTTTCATCTTCGCTGAGGGTTTGCAGTTCAAAGTTTTTTGGCTCCGCTGGGGATTGGGAGTTTGGAAACTTAGTTCTGATGGGGATTTTGAAACTTAACTCCGCTGGGGACATGTATTTCAAAGCTTTAGCTCTGTTGAGGATTTCTCCTGGAATAGCCCAAAGACGTTTTACCATACTTTCAATCTGTCAGTAATTATTCTTTCTTATTTCGTTTTATTTGTAAGCAGTGATTATATTCAAATGCATATGCTCATTTAATAAATATTTGTATTAACTTTGTGTAATTATTTTCTACAAAGAGACAGACATCCTAGTAAGAGAATGTTGTCATAAAAAATGAGAAAAAATTTATACAAAGAAAGATGTCTAGGTGTAACAATTCCATGTGGTTCCCATTCTGCTATAGCCTTTGTAACTCTAAGCATCTTATCCATTTGTTGCTTCGTCCGGATTGGATTGATCAGAAGCTTGGAGCTTGTCCATGAAGAGATTGTCCTTAAAGTGATCCGACGAGACATAGTCATACGCTTTAATTCCCTAACTTTTGCCTGGACCGCCCTTTCGGGTTTTCGATTCACCGGGAAACCCTTTTTTGCCCAAGTCACCCTTTCAGGTTTTCAACTTGCCGGGTGTACAGATTTTTTTTTATTTATCCCTAATTTTTGCCTGAACCGCCCTTTCGGGTTTTCGATTCACCGGGATGCCCATTTTTTGCCCAAGTCGCCCATTCGGGTTTTCAACTTGTCGGGTCGTTTTATGCGTAATATCTTTTAACTATGTCTATGTTCGCAGGGTGCGGCAGGTCATCGCCGTCCATGGTTGTCAGAATCATTGCCCCACCAGAAAAGATGTTTTTGATCACAAATGGTCCTTCGTAAGTAGGAGTCCATTTTCCCCTGGGATCACTTTGTGGCAAGATGATCCGCTTGATTACAAGGTCTTCGACTTGATATACTTGTCTCTTGACTTTCTTGTTGAAAGACTTGATCATACGTTTGTGATACGCCTGACCATGGCAGACAGCAGTAAGTCGCTTCTCGTTAATCAAGTTAAGTTGATCAAGCCGGGTCTGAATCCAATCGTCTTCACTCAAACCAGCCTCCTTCATGATTCTCAAGGAAGGAATCTGAACCTCAATAGGAAAAATAACCTCCATGTTGTATACCAAAGAAAAGGGGGTTGCCCCAATTGAAGTGCATGTCGTGGTACGGTACCCGTGCAAAGCAAACAGTAACATCTCATGCCAGTCCTTGTAGGTGACTGTCATCTTTTGAATGATCTTCTTGATATTTTTGTTCACAAATTCGACAACACCGTTCATATTAGGCCGATAGGGAGATGAATTGTGATGTTGAATCTTTAACTGCTCGCACAGAGCGGTGATCATAGTATTG